CTCAAGTACAAGATCTGAGTACTTCTACTTTTACTTAAGTACAATATCTGAGTACTTCTACTTTTACTCAAGTAAAACCCCCCTGTTTTAGAGTGAATCTCTGTTTGTGTCGCTCTCTCTCTTCTTAATGTCCCCTCTCTTCCCTGGTTTAGGTTGTTTGAGAAAACCATGAGTTCGTATACAGGAGACGACCCTCTGGATCATTGGGGCTCGTGAGTAATCTGAAGTTAGCATTAGCTAACGCTTTTACATTTCAATCAGAATATAAGATACAAATATCTGTCTATCTTCCCTCCCTGTGTCCTCCTCTCTATAGTGATATCTCCTCTGTGTCCTTCTCTCTATAGTGATATCTCCTCTGTGTACTTCTCTCTATAGTGATATCTCCTCTGTGTACTTCTCTCTATAGTGATATCTCCTCTGTGTCCTTCTCTCTATAGTGATATCTCCTCTGTGTACTTCTCTCTATAGTGATATCTCCTCTGTGTACTTCTCTCTATAGTGATATCTCCTCTGTGTACTTCTCTCTATAGTGATATCTCCTCTGTGTCCTTCTCTCTATAGTGATATCTCCTCTGTGTCCTTCTCTCTATAGTGATATCTCCTCTGTGTACTTCTCTCTATAGTGATATCTCCTCTGTGTCCTTCTCTCTATAGTGATATCTCCTCTGTGTACTTCTCTCTATAGTGATATCTCCTCTGTGTCCTTCTCTCTATAGTGATATCTCCTCTGTGTCCTTCTCTCTATAGTGATATCTCCTCTGTGTACTTCTCTCTATAGTGATATCTCCTCTTTATATTGATGTGTTCTCTCTATAGTGATATCTCCTCTTTATATTGATGTGTTCTCTCTATAGTGATATCTCCTCTTTATATTGATGTGTTCTCTCTATTGTGATATCTCCTCTTTATATTGATGTGTTCTCTGTGTTCAGGCTCGTGGTGTACATGGAGTCCCAGGATGCAGTCCATGAACTGTCTCAGGCTCTGGACCGTCTGGTGCAGGAATTTCTGAACGTGGAGAAATACGCAAATGACTTCCGATATGTCAACTACTGCATCAGATGTGTGAGTCTCTCTGGAATATCATCTACTATTTTGATCATCGTTAAAGTTCAGGCAAGAGATATGAAAGAAAAACATTTGTCAGACGTCTCAAAGATCAACATTTCCTGTTTTTCCCATTTTCTCATTAATCTGAAAATCAAGCGAAAGATAATCAACAAAAAAACAATTAGTAACTTCCACAGTTTGCTGTTATTCAGGCTTACATGGCCACGTATAGAAAAGCACATATTTGGATAATTCATCTACCGTTTAAAGTTCATTTTCCGGTCAAACTGTAAAATAAAATGCTGTTTCCTGACTTTTTAAACCACCTCACACTCTGAGAAACAGTTGCAGCTCCATCGTACATCCGTAATACTTCTACATGTTGTTATGCAGACTAACACTAGTGTTTCTTTAACTGTCCCTCTGTGTTTCAGGCGAGTTATTATTCTTAGCCCGTCGTTTTAGTACACTTTCACGAAGAAAATGTTTTTAAAATGCTGTTTTTGGTCTTCTTTAAACCACCTCTGAGAAACGGTCGCAGCTCCATCATACTGTACATCCGTAATACTTCTACATTTTGTTACCCATACTCAAACTAGCGTTTCCTTCACTGTCTCTCTGTGTTTCAGGCGAGCTTTTACCCGGAGCCGGTGGCCGTGTACAATCACGTTTTCAGTAAAGGAGTCGGCACGAGGACGGCGGCGTTTTACGTTTCCTGGGCGAAACAGTTTGAGGAGAACGGGAAGATCGAACAGGCCGAGGCTGTTTTCCAGAAAGCTTTAGAGAACCAAGCTCAGCCCGCAGAAACCGTGCTCAACGAACACAGGTACACAGAGAGATGGTACAAGTACACACATCCTGTGCTCAAGTAGAAGTACAGATACTCATGTTTAAAAATACTCTGGTGAAAGTAGAAGTACTGACTAAACTTCTTTACTCAAGTCAAAGTAAAGAGGCTTTGAAATGTACTTCAGTAAAAAGTACCCATAACTAGCAGCTGTTTTAAAGAGTAACTGACCTCCCTTTATATTAATAGAACAATAATGTCATTGTTAGCTAATGAATGTTTCCATGGTGACCAACAGCAACATGACAACGTTTTCATTGGTCCCTCTTCTTTAGAGAAGACCAGGAAATGATGGATACACGGATCGTGTTCAAATCAATAGGCACGCAATGACTCTAAATAATAATGATCACGCCACCAAACACACATTCAGACTAAAGGAACCAGCCTGTTTGGAAAATGAGAGAAGTAGAAAGTACAGGTATTTGTGTTCAACATGTAAGAAGTAGAAAGTACAGGTATTTGTGTTCAACATGTAAGAAGTAGAAAGTACAGGTATTTGAGTTCAACATGTGAGAAGTAGAAAGTACAGGTATTTGAGTTCAACATGTAAGAAGTAGAAAGTACAGGTATTTGAGTTCAACATGTAAGAAGTAGAAAGTACAGGTATTTGAGTTCAACATGTAAGAAGTAGAAAGTACAGGTATTTGTGTTCAACATG